AGTCATTCCGGAGCAGGTTGTCTTCAGTTTCCAGTGTAGTTGACGCGGTTTTTGATGGGTTTCTTATCCTGTAGTTAGTTGATGCATCTGTGGTCTGTAGAGGTTACTAGTTTTATAATTTCGTTCTTTTATCATTGCTGAAGAGTGCTTTACTTCCATCATGTGGTCAATTTGGAATAACGTGTGATTGTGGGTGCTGAGGAAGGAATGGTTATTCTGTTGATTGGAGGTGGAGAGGTCTCTGTACGATGTCTATTAGGTCTGCTTGGTAGCAGAGCTGTAAGTTCAGATTCCTGATTATGTTAACTTTTGTTTCTGTGAATTCTGTCTAATGTGACAGTGGTGTGTTAAAGTCTCCATTAATTATTGTGTGCGTGTAGTCTAAGTCTCTTGGTATGGTCTCTAAGGACTTGTTTATGATATCTGATGTGCTTCCCTGTTAGGACTGCATATTATATTTGGACTGTTAGCCTCTTGTTGAATTGATCCTTTACCATATGTAATGGCCTCTTCTCTTTTGATTTTTTGTGTTTAAATGTCTGTTTATTCAGAGAGAGAATTGGCACCCCTGCATTTTTTGTTCCATTGGCGGTAGTCTTCCTCCATCCCTTTATAGCCTATGTGTTGTTCTGCATGTGAGATGGGTCTCCTGAATATAGCACACTGATGGGTCTTGACTCTTTATCCAATTTGCCAGTCTGTGTCTTTTAATTGGAGCATTTAGCCTATTTACATTTAAGGTTAATATTGTTATGTAGTGAATTTGATCCTGTCATTATGATGTTAGCTGGTTATTTTGCTCGTTAGTTGATGCAGTTTCTTTCTAGCATTGATAGTCTTTACAATTTGGCATGTTTTTGCAGTGGCTGGTACCAGTTGTTCCTTTCCATGTTTAGTGCTTCCTTCCGGAGCTCTTGTAAGGCAGGCCTGGTGGTGACAAAATCTCTCAGCATTTGTTTGTCTGTAAAGGATTTTATTTCTCCTCCATTTATGAAGCTTAGTTTGGCTAGATATGAAATTCTGGTTTAAAAATTCTTTTCTTTAAGAATGTTGAATATTGGCCCCCACTCTCTTCTGGCTTGTAGAGTTTCTGCCAAGAGATCGGCTCTTAGTCTGATGGGCTTCCCTTTGTGGGTAACCTGGCCTTTCTCTCTGGCTGCCCTTAACATTTTTTCCTTCATTTCAACTTTGGTGAATTTGACATTTACGTGTCTTGGAGTTGCTCTTCTCGAGGAGTATCTTTGTGGCGTTCTCTGTATTTCCTGAATTTGAACATTGGCCTGCCTGGCTAGGTTGGGGAAGTTCTCCTGGATAATATCCTGAAGAGTGTTTTCCAACTTGGTTCTATTCTCCCTGTCACTTTCAGGTACACCAATCAGACATAGATTTGGTCTTTTCACATAGTCCCATATTTCTTGGAGGCTTTGTTCATTTCTTTTCACTCTTTTTTCTCTAAACTTCTCTTCTCACTTCATTGCATTCATTTGATCTTCAATCACTGATACCCTTTCTTCCACTTGATCAAATCGGCTACTGAAGCTTGTGCATGCATCACGTAGTTCTCATGCCATGGTTTTCAGCTCCATCAGTTCATTTAAGAACTTCTCTACACTGTTTATTCTAGTTAGCCATTCATCTAATCTTTTTTCAAGGTTTTTAGCTTCTTTGCAATGGGTTCGAACATCCTCCTTTAGCTCGGAGAAGTTTGTTATTACTGATCGTCTGAAGCCTTCTTTTCTCAACTCGTCAAAGTCATTCTCCATCCAGCTTTGTTCCGTTGCTGGCGAGGAACTGCGTTCTTTTGGAGGAGAAGAGGTGCTCTGATTTTTAGAATTTTCAGCTTTTCTGCTCTGGTTTCTCCCCATCTTTGTGGTTTTATCTACCTTTGATCTTTGATGATGGTGACATACAAATGTGGTTTTGGTGTGGGTGTCCTTTCTGTTTGTTAGTTTTCCTTCTAACAGTCAGGACCGTCAGCTGCAGGTCTGTTGGAGTTTGCTGGAGGTCCATTCCAGACGTTGTTTGCCTGGGTATCACCAGCAGAGGCTGCAGAACAGCAAATATTGCAGAACGGCAAATGTTGCTGTCTGGTCCTTCTTCTGGAAGCTTCTCTCAGAGGGGCACCCGGCTGAGAGGTGTCAGTCGGCCCCTATTGGGAGGTGTCTTCCAGTTAGGCTACTTGGGGGTCAGGGACCCACTTGAGGAGGCAGTCTGTCTGTTCTCAGATCTCAAACTCTGTGCTGGGAAAAGCACTACTCTCTTTAAAGCTGTCAGACAGGGACGTTTAAGTCTGCAGAAGTTTCTGCTGCCTTTTGTTCAGCTATGCTCTGCCCCCAGAGGTGGAGTCTACAGAGGCAGGCAGGCCTCCTTGAGCTGTGGTGGGCTCCACCCGGTTCGAGCTTCCAGGCCGCTTTGTTTACCTACTCAAGCCTCAGCAATGGTGGACGCCCCTCCACCAGCCTTGCTGCCACCTTGCAGTTCAATCTCAGACTGCTGTGCTAGCAGTGAGTGAGGCTCCATGGGCGTTGGACCCTCCGAGCCAGGCATGGGATATAATCTTCTGGTGTGCCATTTGCTAAGGCCTTGGAAAAGCGCAGTATTAGGGTGGGAGTGTCTGATTTTCCAGGTACCGTCTGTCACAGCTTCCCTTTGCTAGGAAAGGGAATTCCCTGACCCCTTGTGCTTCCCAGGTGAGGTGATGCCCTGCCCTGCTCCATGGGCTGCACCCACTGTCTGACAAGCCCCAGTGAGATGAAGCCAGTACCTCAGTTGGAAATGCAGAAATCACCCATCTTCTGTGTCGCTTATACTGGGAGCTGCAGACTGGAGCTGTTCCTATTCAGCCATCTTGGACTTTTATTTTTATTTATTTATTTATTTAAGACACAGTCTTGCTCTGTTGCCCAGGTTGGAGTGTAATGGCATGATCTTGGCTCACTGCAACCTCTGTCTCTGAGGTTCAAGCGATTCTTGTGCCTCAGCCTCTTAAGTAGCTGGGATTATAGGCACGTGCCACCATGCCTGGCTAATGTTTGTATTTTTAGTAGAAACAGGGTTTCACCATATTGACCAGACTGGTCTCAAACTCCTGGCCTCAAGTGATCCACCTGCTTTAGCCTCCCAAAGTGCTGGGATTACAGGCGTGAGCCAACGTTGAGTCGATGCTGCTGGCCCTAATTTTATGTTTAATAGAGACAAGGTCTTGCTATGTTGCCCAGGCTGGTCTTGAACTCCTGAGCCCAAGTGATCCTCCTGCCTCAGCCTCCCAAAGTGCTGGGATTACAGGCATGAGTCACCACACTTGGCTAAGGATCACTTTTTAATACTCTGCTTCATAATACATATAAAGAGAATTACTATCATTTCATCTGACAATTGTGTAAAAATATTATGTAAGCAGCAGAAAACGCCTGTGGAGTGGTATAAAATGCAGAAAGAATGTCATCGGGTGCCCAACCACTGTGTTCCCACACTGGAGGGAAAACTGCCTACATGGGACTTTGAGACTTGATTAGGATCTCCACCATAGTGCCTCCCAAAGGGATCTTCAAAAGTAATTTTTAACGTATGTGGGTTTGTTTTGTTTTTGCCTGTGAGCAGACTTCAGATCTTAGCTCTCCTGCATAACTTTTTTTTTTGAGACAGAGTCTCACTTGTCGCCCAGGCTGGAGTGCAGTGGCACGATCTCAGCTCACTGCAACCTCTGCCTCCCAGGTTTAGGTGATTCTCCTGCCTCAGCCTCCCAAGTAGCTGGGATTACAGGTGCCTGCCACCATGCCCAGCTATTTTTTTTTTTTTTAGTAGAGATGGGGTTTCACCATTTTGGCCAGGCTGATCTCGAACTCCTGACCTCAAGTGATATACCCACCTCAGCCCCCCAAAGTGCTAGGATTACAGGCATTATCCTGTATAACAACTTTGCATGTGCTAGTCACACTTCAGGGACAGCTGCCCTCCCTGGCCTAGCTCTCTGTGGATCAGCTCAAGACCAATTTCACTTGATAAGAATCCAATACTCTCTAACTGCAAAGAAGTCTCCATCTTTTTGCTAGAAAGTTCTGAAGAATGTGATCCTGTTACGTGGACCTACCAGGTTCATGAGCTAGAGAGCTGCAAAGGTATCCTTGTGTAGAAGGTAAAATGGACATTTTTAATGGGTGGCAAACCTTCTCCCTGGTGTTTCACCTTCAACCTGGCCTCCTTTTCCTTTCATGAGTAAAAAAACTTGAAAATGTACACGTGTATATGTAGCCTTTTCAGTCTTAGAAGTTATGGTCACACTTCATATTATAAATTCTAGCTGTGAACACATTCATCACTTATAAGTGGATTATATTAGTAGCCTCGATTATGGGTCCACAAAAGAATGAGGCAGTACAGTATACGGTTAACAATCATCTCTGGTATTTGGGATATTTAGGCTCAAATACCATAGCTCTGCATTTTTTTATTTTTAAATTTTTTTTGAGGTGGGGTCTCACTCTGTCACCCAGGCTGGAGTGCAGTGGCACAATCATGGCTCACTGCAGCCTTGACCTCCTCGTTCCTCGGCCTCCTGAGTAGCTGGGACTGCAGGCACACATCACCACACCCGGCTAGTTTTTGTATTTTTTGTAGAAATGGGGTTTCGACACATTGCCCAGACTGATCTCGAACTCCTGAGCTCAAGCAATCCGCCCACCTCGGCCTCCCGAAGTGCTAGGATTACAGGCATGCACTACACTGCCTGGCCTGCAATTTTTTTTTTTTTTTTAAATCTGTGCAAACTTGGGCACATTATTTAAACTGTCTAAGCTTTATTTTTTTTTTCTCATTTGTACAATGAGGTAAGAATCCTACCTTATTGGCTTGGTGTATTTATCAGGGTAATGTATGTAAAGGCCTTAGCATAGCATCCAGCACAGAATAAAGACTGTTGTTGGCTATTAATAATAATAAAAAAATTCTCTGAGCGGCTAAGATATATCATGAATCAATCATTTTTGCTCAGAGACAACCCATTAGGCCCACACTCTGGGTCTACATACTTTTATTCTTGACAGAAATGGTTTACAGCGGCATAGCCATAGTTTTGACAGGGAGAGTCATTTGGTTTCCCAAGATCTAGCACAACAGGAACCCCTATGATCTCATGGCAGGGACTGGCTAGGACCAAGGCAACTGTCAGTAACAAAAGGAACAATGGGTGGAATAGAACAAATCAAACAAAGCAAGGGCTCGATGTTAGGAATCCGAGGGTATTTAGAAACGGGAAAGACAACCTTACATTCCTCGAGTCCCTGAAGGCACCACTGTAGTACAGAATAGTACAGTAATTCATGTTGATGGTGAAGTGTGCCTCAGCCTTCCAGAGACAATTTACGTATATTCACTATTTTAAAATAGGCAGAGAACCAATTTTCTATTACCAGGCAAGCACTTCAAAAAAAGGTTAAGATCAACATTTTAGTGCTTGAAGACAGGGGAATTTCAGTTACATGTAAAATCCCCTTGGATAAAACAAGTTAGCTTCCAAAAAAACTACTAAGCGTCACTATGTTTAAAATGCTTAAATTAATTCTGCAAATCAGTACTGTATAAATTAACCACTATCACCTGCAAAAGACAGTGGCTACTTAACTTTGGTACAAAGAATCAGGGTCAGCTTGCCTGTGATACTTTAACGAATGAAATGTGTTGTTTTCTGATATGCCCCTTTCAAATCATGATCCAAAGAGGTGCAGTGAAAAACAACAGACAAAAACCAACAACAAACAAGACTTCCCACTTATACTCTTCTCGACGATGCAGTTTGTGGAGAATTCTCCCCGTCTCTGCGCTCAAGATTCCTTGATGGTAAAATGAGGGAGTCTGGACTAGTTGATCTTCAAGGTCCCATCCAGCTTGGATGTTCTGGGATAAAGTCACCTGACCCAACTAACAGGTACCCAGTGAGTGTCCTTGCTCAGCTTCTCTAAGACCACTTTGAGCTGGCTGTAGGCACCCTGGAGATCCTCCTTCACCAGCACGGCGTCTACCAGGTGCCCATAATGCTGGTCTATGAAGGTGGCGGAAGCGGCCATCTCTTGCTGCTGCTCATCCTGCAAGGAAAGGGGTGGTAAAAGGAGCAACTGGGTTGTTCTCCTATAACAAACCTATAGCCTTTGTCTTGAGCAATGTTCCAACCTTTAACTTTTAACTGATGAGTGGATGACTAGGTCTCACTGATAAACCAACTGTATACACAAGAACAGAGCGTAGGGACATCACGTCAAACTTCAAAGAAAGTTAATGGGCAGTAGACACAATCACTGTTCAGTCATTCACTCACAGGATACCTCCTGAGGACCTATGACCTCAAAGCCATGATAGGAAGTGCATTGGGAATGCTGATTCTATATCCGTGTATATATGTCAATATCACACTTCCTGCCTCAGAAGTACTTCCAAAGAAGTAGTAGTATTGTGCTGCATGGCATTTAGTACACAGGTTAAATAATTGTAAGAAAGAACTATAAATAATAACTATATAAAAACAGAGCAAACATTTCTGCAATCAACTAGTAGAAGAAGAAATCATTCTAATGCCCTCCTGAAGACTCCTAAATTCATAGTGTAGAACTAAATTCTTTTCATTTCCTCACACCAGAGCCAAACACTAGCACAGCAAAGTGAAGTTATTTAAGAAAGCACTGGACAATTCTAATCAAATTCCCCATGTCCTTAGGGCAGCTGATCTCTTTAATCAGATTGCCTTCCTGACACCTAACATTAAGGTATAGGCAACGGCTCCATCTTACCCAATGTGGGCACTGTTTGCATCTCCATTCAAAAGAACCTCTCATAAGTACCAGTTCGGGTGAGTAGTTGTCTGACAATCTGCCTGGTTTTGGAAAACAGGGAAGTGGCAGGCCCTTTCTAAGTAAAACTACAAAATGAAATTTGTTGCTGGCATTCACTCGTTCCCCTTTTTAGTCCTCTGTTGCCATCTCCCCTCTGTTTCTAGGGGCTCAGTGTTTTCATGCTGCACAGGGAAAGGGTGAGTTCTGTTCTCTCCCAAAGAGACGTACATTCCAAAATATTCCCCCGTCTTCTCTCTGTCACCAGTCAAAACCCAATTCCTACTTTAGTGAGAGCATCTGAAATTTCAGGATTCGAGTCCTCAAGATCTAGGAAAAGGGTGTGGCGTGCTACTTCAAAGACTGTTGAAATGTGCTATCTAAGAAGGCTGAGATAATTTCTTCTCCTTTTCTCCTCCAGGAGGGAAAAAATTGGATTAAATTGGGAGACATTTCTCAATTCTATATTCCATATAGAATATTCTCGCAGGGCTACTTTCATACTCAGAAGCACTTCGCACTATCCCATAACTGCCCCCTGGCTCTTCAACCCCTCCTTCCCCACTCCCTGACACACATCCATCCTACAGACCTGTCTGCTGCTTCCAGTTTCCCCTCCTCCAGGCACCCACATGGTTCATCCTGGAAGCATTTGGCTAGTTAAGAAATTAAAAAAGAAAAAATTTTGCCACAAAGAACCACAATCTTCCTAATAAATATCTGCATCCGGAAAGAACTTAAGTAAATCTCTAATGGAGTAAAAACACGTGACATTTGCTTTGCAATCATAAATCCCCTGAACCCCTTTCCTGGCCTGTAAAGATGGAACTCGCCACCTGTATCTTCAGCAAGAGTCACAGTCCAGAAAATCACATAGGAAAGATTCCCCCATGCTGTCCATCACCCCCAGGCTGGATTAGCTTTGCTGGGTCAGAAGCCAGATGCCTCATTAACTTGTGGTCAGCAAGGAAACAGACAGAGGATGTTTTGGGTCCCCTGCCAGGAACTCAGGTGCCAGACAATGGACAGATATTTAACGTTACACAAAACCCATGCCTTTGTGAGGAATTTCTCCAAATGTCATCTGGGGTCTGCCAACATACATCAAAACCACATGAAAGGCTGAGTGTTAAAAACGGAGTGCCTGGGCCCCACTCCAAACCCCCTAGGTCGGAATCTCTGGGAGTAGAACCGGGGACTCTGTGTTGAACAGCCTCACTGTGACCTTGCTGCCTACTCACAGCTGCAGGGTGGTGGAGCACGAACGGACCAGCTGCATTTCATCATCAGCCCACCTGCTTGGAATGCAGTATTCTGGTGGGCAATAAAAGAGATGGGATAGACGACAAAACCGGCCAGGCTGGAAGGACACTGGGAATAGAGTGCAGCTGCTTCTCTTGAAATAACCACCATGGGCCAGGGAGGGTTCTGACTCCTAGAAAGCTGGCACTGCCTGTGGACCTGATTATTTGGCAGAACTTTCCTTGAGTCCTAGGAAGCTGCCTCTTACTCTCCTAATGACTTCTTGACTCTTGGAAAAATGAGCCATTTCCCCCCTGCTTATTCAATCCTGAAATATTTGCAAAACAAAACAAAGCCAATACAGTAAAACGAATGGGCAGATTGATCCTAAAATTCATATGGCAATGCAAAGGACCCAGAATAGCCAAAACAAGCTTGAAAAACCTGACTTCAAAACTTACTACAAAGCTAGTAATCGAAGCAAGATGGTGTGGTGCTGGCCTAACAACAGACATGTAGACCAGTGGAAAGGGACTGAGTCTCCGGAAAGAAACCCTTACTTTTCTTGCCAATTGATTCTAGACAAGGGTGTCAAAATAATTAAATGAGAAAATAGTTTTTTCAACCAGTGATGCTGGGGTAACTGGCTATCCACATGCAAAGAATGAAGTTGGACCCCTACTTCACACAATCCACAGAAAATAACACAAAATAGATGACAGATCCAAATGTAACTGCTACAACTATAAATAATTTAAAAGAAAACAAAGGAGTAAATCTTTATGACCTTGGATTCAACAATGATTTCTTAGATACGATACCAAAAATATAAGCAACAAAAGAAAAAATATATTGGACTTTATCACATTTTAAAATGTTATGCCTCAAAGGACGCTATCAAGAAAGTAAGGGCCAGGCATGGTGCCTCCCAGCACTTTGGGAGGCCGAGGCAGGCAGATCACCCAAGGTCAGGAGTTTGAGACCAGCCTGGCCAACATGGTGAAACTCCATCTCTACTAAAAATACAAAAAAAAATTAGCCGGGCGTGATGGCATGCGCCTGTAATCCCAGCTACTTGGAGGTTGAGGCAGGAGAATCACTTGAACCTGGGAGGCGGAGGTTTCAGTGAGCCAACACCGCACCATTGCACTCCAGCCTGGGCAACAAGAGCAAAACTCTGTCTCACAAAAAAAAAAAGGAAGTGAAAAGACAACTCACAGAATGGGAAAAAATATTCGCAAATCATGCATCTGACAAAGGACTTGTATCCAAAATAGATAAAGAATTCTTACAACTCAATAATAAGAAACGGACATTTAAAAATGGACAAAGTATTTGAACAGACATTTCTCCAAGAAAGATATAAAAATGGCCAATAAACACATGAAAAGATGTTCAGCTTCACTGATGATTAGAGAAATGCAAATCAAAACCACAATGAGATACCACTTCACACCTACTAGTAGTGCTATGATTAAAAAGACAGACAATAACAAGGGCTGGTGAGGATGTGGAGAAATGGGAACTCTTGAACGCTGCTGCTGGGAATGTAAAATGGTACAGCTGCCATGGTAGAGTCTGGCAGTTCCCCCAAATGTTAAACATAGAGCTGCCCTATGACCCAGCAATTCCATACCAAGGTATACACCCAAGAGAAATGAAAACATATGTTCACACAAAAACTTGTATATGAATATTCATAACATGATTCATAATAGCTGAAAATCCATAAATGTCCACTAATTGATAAATGGGTAAACAAAATGTGGTACTCTATACAATGGAATATTATTCAGCCATAAAAAAAAAAAGAATGAATTACTGATACATGAATGAACCTTAAAAACATTATACTAAGTGAAAAAAGCCAGATACAAAAGGTCTTATATTGCATGAATCCATTTATATGAAATGTTTAGAACAGACAAATTTATAGTGACCATAGATTAGCAGTTGCCTGTGGCTAGGAAGGGACTGGAGGAAAACAGATAATGGGAAATTCTAACGGGCTCAAGGTTTCTTTCTGAGGTGATGAAAATGCTCTTAAATTGACTGTGGTAGTTGCAACAACTCTGTGAATACATCATTGAATTGTATGCTTTAAATGGGTGAATTGTACAGTATGTAAATTTTATCTCAATAAAGCTGTTAACTCCCCCTCCAAAAAACACACAGTAAATACAGAAAACAAAAATTAGTTAAGAGCCCACTATTTAGGGAGAATTGCCTTTAGCATTTTAGTGTATTTTGTGTGTAACACAAAATTAGAATCCTGATTTTTTTATTTTCTGATTTATTTTTTCTTGTATTTAGCTATGTCATCAAATATTCCTCCAACACATGGCTTTTATGTATTTAGTTAGTTAGTTATTATTTTTTTTGAGACAGAGTCTTGCTTTGTTGCCCAGGCTGGAGTATAGTGGCGCGATCTCAGTTCACTGAAAACTCTGCCTCCCAGGTTCAAGTGATTGTCCTGCCTCAGCCTCCCAAGTAGCTGGAATTACAGACGCCTGCCACCACGCCCAGCTAATTTTTGTATTTTTAGTAGAGACAGGGTTTCACCATGTTGGCCAGGCTGATCTCAAACTCCTGACCTCTGGTGATCCACCCACCTAGGCCTCCCAAAGTGCTGGGATTACAGGCGTGAGCCACCACGTCCGGCCCCAACATATGGCTTTTAACTGGCTACAATAATATTTCAATACATCCCGTAAGTGTCATGTAATGGAGTATATCGAACTGAGTCCTGATAGTGAACATTTAGGTTGTCTCTGATTTTTTTGTTATGTGATAGGCATACTGTACGTTTCTGTTTTTTGTTTTTGAGATGGAGTTTCACTCTTGTTGCCCAGGCTGGAGTGCAGTGGCGCAATCTTGGCTCATTGCAACCTCCGCCTCCAAGTTCAAGCAATTCTCCTGCCTCAGGCTCGCAAATAGCTGGGATTACAGGCATGTGCCACCATGCCCAGCTAATTTTTTGTATTTAGTAGAGATGGGGTTTCACCGTGTTGGTCAGGTTGGTCTCAAACTCCTGACCTCAGGTGATCCACCCGCCTTGGCCCTCCAAAGTGTTGGGATTACAGGTGTGAGCCATTGCACCCAGTCAATACTGTATGTTTCTAAATGATTCTAAACTTAAGCTGATACTCCCCTTAGAGTTTCTTGTGTGTGTGTTTTTTTTTTTAGACAGAGTCTTGCTCTCTTGCCCAGGTTAGAGTGTGCAGTGGCGTGATTTTGGCTCACTGCAGTCTCTGCCTCCTGGGTTCAAGTGTTTCTCCTGTCTCATCCTCCCGAATAGCTGGGATTACAGGCATGCGCCACCATACCTGGTGTAATATACAAAATAATTTTTGTGTTTTTAGTATGAGACGGGGTTTCGCCATTTTCGCCAGGCTGCTCTCAAACTCCTGACCTTAGGTAATCCGCCTGCTTCGGCCTCCCAAAGTGCTGGGATTATAGGCATGAGCCACCATGCCACCCTCCCCCTTAGAGTTTCTAAAGGAGAAAATTTCTTTTTTTTCTTTTTTTTTTTTTTTGGAGACAGTCTCACTCTGTCACGCAGGCTGGAATGCAGTGGCATGGTCATGGCTCACTGCAGCCTTGACCTATTAGGCTCAAGTGATCCTCCCACTCCCATCTCAGTCTCCTGAGTGGCTAGGACTATAGGTGTGTGCCACCACGCCTGGCTAATTTTTGTAATGTTTTTGTAGAGACAGGGTTTCACCAAGTTGCCCAGGCTGGTTTTGAATTCCTGGGCTCAAGCAATCTGCCCACCTCAGCCTCCCAAATTGCTGAGATACAGGTGTGAGCCACCGTACCTGGCCAAGGAGAGAATTTCTAATGTTCCTTGTATGTATGCCATTCTAAATAATTTATTGAGACCAGGTATGGTGGCTCACACCTGTAATCCCGACACTTTGGGAAGCTGAGGCAGGAGGATCACTTGAGGCCAGGAGTTTGAGACCACCCTGGGCAGCACAAGACACCCTGTCTCTGTAATTTTTTTTTTAATTGGCTGGGTGTTGGTGGTACATGCCTGTAGTCCCAGCTACTTAGGAAGCTGAGGAAGGAAGACTGCTTGAGCCCAGGAGTTCAAGGCTGCAGTGAGCCATGATTATACCTCTGTACTCCAGTCTGGGCAATACAGCAAGATCCTGTTCTAAAAAAAATAAAAGGCCAGGCACAGTGGCTTACACCTGTAATCCCAGCACTCTGGGAGGCCAAGGTGGAAGGATCACTCGAGCCCAGGAGTTCAAGACCAGCCTGGACAACATAGTGAGTCCCTGTCTTTAAAAATAAAAAATAAAATAAAAAATCTGTCGATGTGGACAGTTAAAACTGAGAATCAGTATGAACTAGGATTGCATCAAAATCTTGACTTGGAGGGAGCTTCCTGACCAAGGGGAAGGATCCGAGAAGGCCTCCTTCAGATGAAACCAGCTATATAGGACAGCAAACAAAGTCTATTCTGGGACTGAGTTGCTTCTGACTGCCCCCACCACCCATAATAACTTCCAGCTCATTCTGCTGACTGACCCTGTTAAGAACCAAAAAAGATGAGTCATCAAGTCCATACCGCCTAGAAGAACTCCGTCAAACATTTAGGTTTGGGTGAGGGTTTCGCCATCCTGACATAGACTGGGCTGAACAAAGAATCTATGACAGTGAAACAGAGGTTCATTTAGGATACATCAGATGAACTCATCCACGAGTTTTAGAAATCCCTTCACTCACTGATGATTCAAACTGGTTTGGAAGCAGTGATAATGACCTTGTTAGTTGGGATTTCAATTAAAAATACTTGGGTTTGGCCTTTGGCCTAGGAATGTAGTTTGATGAGTGTAGTCTGTCACACTCACATGAGGTCCCTGACAGGTGTCATATTTTGGGGGAGGGTGCTTATGTGAGGGAGTGGAGGGGTGTGAGCCCAGGAAAAGCCACCTGCCTGGTTTGGGAGGCACTTCCAGCTGTTCACCTTGAGCCTTCTGGCCATGCAATCATCTTCTCTTAAGTTTTTCAATAGGCAAAATGGAAAGACAATCACGTGCAGAAGGTGCATCCCGCATCCCTCTTCAGCTGCAAGCACCCTGATGCAGCTAGAAGCATTCCTGTAACAGCCTCCCTTAGGCCTTCAGAAAAGAAACAATCCACTTTAAACTTACAAATAGGGCTGCCGTGTCCTCACAAGCTGGGGACATAGGTGGTGTCTTTCTTTTTTCCTGAATTGCAGGCTTTACAAATATAATATAGGGTTTAAATTCTGAGGTCCTCAGTTGTTTCAGTGCCTGAGAAAGAAAGTTCAGGAATATTATATACTTTTGAAGTTTTTTATTGTGAAATACACTTTTGAAAACTCAACGTGTGCTTCAGTCCCATAACCCCAACAGCAAAGGTCCTGGTTACATGGGTCCCATGACAATGGACTTCAATGGGGCAGACCAACTGCTCCTTTTCTCATCCTTCACTTCGACATTGAACTCAGCGGGGCCCTGAAGTCACACTCACTGCAAATAGAAGGTTCCTAAGCCTCAGCTCAGAGAGAGTTGCTGTCTCTCTTAGCTCTGACCCTTCTGGCTATAATTAACCTTCTTAGGCTCCTCCTCCACCTTCCATTTCTGATGGGTGAGGATGCAGGAGTCAGTGTGTATCTATTTAGTCAAATGTCATCAATTGGACTACACTATTACCAAATTTGTGCTATTACATCTCCTCTTGGTATTCAAAGAAGAAAACGTTCGCAAAGCAAATGAGATTACCGAACAGATCACTTAAACTGTAGACTGTAGAAACTGTACTCTTAATTAATGCATTTTATCTAGAATGTAAGAGCTCCACTTGGAAACACTAAGTATTAAACTGCTATATGCATTATCTGCACCCTTGATCAATAAAGTGATCAATAAAATTACTTTTCAAAGAAATTTTTGAAACTCAGACTTCTAATTTTGATTACTAATTCCCTGTAAGTCCAAATGAGTGAGCGTTTTCCTTTGTAGGCATAACGTGCTTTTTGGAATATGTTTCAAGCAAACTTCTTTAAAATAAAGCCTACAGTTTATATCATAAAATCAGAGATCTGTTTCTATAGAGGGGAAAAAAGTCCCAGATTGAGTTCAAAGCTTGGAAGTTTTTCTAAAAGACAAGGTTAAAGAGATGGTTAAGCCCCTGCTGAGCCCACAGCATGCCGGGTGTGCAGGAGTGGAAATGTTTTTGAAGTACTTCACAGGGCCACGTCTCCCTCCCTCTTTTTCCCCTTTAAACTGCTCTCCTCACTGCCTCCCTGAGTGGTTCTCTAAGCCACTGACTCCACCTGCCTTGGTTGGGGAGGGGGAGGCCTGGCACCGAGAGCTCAGCCCCAGCTTCACCTGGGTACTGACATCTAATTCTCTGGCACATTGCAATGGCCAGTCAGCGCCACCAACTACAGCATGATCTGTTCCATGCAGGGGTTACTAGCCTGGGTCTGTGGGCCACCAGAGTGTCCACGAGTTCCCTACAATTAATGCAGCATTCATGGATAGAGGGGCATGTTTTGGGGTACAAGGCTTTCATTTGATTTTCAAAGGAAGACCCAAAGAAATTGAACAGTTAGTGTTCCAGACTAAAAATTCCTTAGGCTGAGGTTAAGTGTTGTATAAAACGTACAATCCCCTAGTTATAAATTCCATTAACCAGAAATGGCCAGCAGGCCCAGGAACTCACTTCCGGCTCCACATCCACCAAACAAACTTTGTTTTTGGCCATAACAGCCTGAATGGCCTCCAGGCTGGTTCCATAGAAATTTTCCTTATATTCACCATGTTCCAGGAACCTAAAACACCACCAAAGGGGAAAAGACCTTTAGTTCCTCAGCTTTCCTAAATTAGCAAAGGAAAGGGGACCTCCCAACATGACTTCTCTCCCGCTTCCCCCATCCTTTCTGGGAGCCCTCCCGGGAGCTCCAGTGGAATACAGGTAGATACAAAAAGACGCAGCTGCCTAGAAGGCCAACTGGCCCATCAAGCAACGTACTTGTTGTGATGTAAGTCGGCCTCAAATGCTTGCTTAGACACAAAGTGATATTCCACTCCTTCCTTCTCATGGCTCTTTCGGGGCCTGGTGGTATCTTTTAAAGAAAGAAGGAAAGCCGGGCAAAGAGATGTCACATCACAGCACATGGGGATAGCAGCAGGCTTAGGCACTCATTTGGGAGTTGGCTGCTGCTGTGTCTAAACCAAGCACTTCTACCTCATCGCATGTCCCTGTATCAGGCACCGTGCCTTTCCAGGCAGGTGTATCACTGATTCACACAACAACTCTTCCATGTAGGCAAAAGGAGGCTTTTCCTTTTGCAGCTGAGAAAACTGAGGCACAGAGAGGCTCGGCGCTGTGCACAGTGACACACAACCAGTAGAGCACACAGCCAGAATCGGTCTCTCTGCCAAATGCCCAGCTTAAACCCTTAACCACTCTGCTAACTGACTCCCTGATGCTGTGGCTTTTTTTTTTTTTTTTTTTTTTTGAGACAGAGTTTTGCTCGTTCCCCAGGCTGCAGCGCAATGGCATGATTTCGGCTCACCGCAACCTCTGCCTCCCCAATTCAAGTGATTCTCCTGCCTCAGCCTCCCGAGTAGCTGGGATTACAGACATGCACCACCACACCCGGCTAATTTTGTATTTTTAGTAGAGACGGGGTTTCTCCACGTTGGTCAGGCTGGTCTCAACTCCCAGCCTCAGGTGATCCACCCGCCTCGGCCTCCCAAAGTGCTGGGATTATAGGCATGAGTCACTGTGCCCAGCAGATGCTGTGGCTTTTGAAGAATCACTTAAGAGACCCCTAGGTCCTAACTTTTAATTCTTCAATGTTTTTTCTTTTTTGAGAGCAAAGGAGCCACATATACATTTGACCCTGATGTATGCTTTTAATTCTTTAGTCAATTAGTTCTCATCTCCAGAAGGAGACAGGAAGACAGACCGTCCCTATATGGATTGGATGTGTTTCAGCAAGGCTGGCTCTCAAACAAAAATGTTAAAACACATGGTGTTTTCTCATTGATTTCCATAACAGAATTGGGATGCACACTTCTGAGGAAAATCAGGTCTTCCACAGAACAAGGGCACACACAAAGCCACACACACGGCATTTTCCAAAAGATAAAATGGGATCTTGGGGCACTGTGTCTTCTGGCCCATGGGAACCATCCAGGGGATGCCCTGTGTTCTATCTGTGGCATCTTAGTCCAACCTCCGGTAGAGCTGCTAGGGTCACTTTTCCAACCACGTCATCCCCCTGCTTAAAAACTTTTATTTATCTATGCATTACATTCTAAACACCCTAGCTGAATATATGAGACCTGCATGATCTGCCCAACCTCTCAGCTCCATTTTCCAGCACATCATCCACACTAATCTCCCCAGTCCCTAACACTGCTCTGTCCCTTCACACATGTTGTTTCCTCAGTACGGAAAACTATTCCTTTCTCTTCTGCCTGGAAAACTCCTATTTACACTTCAAAACCCAGCATAAAAGTCACTGCCTCTGGGAAGGCTTCCTTGACTCCTCCAGTTTCTAAAACCAAGGAGGAAAGTCTCCTATCTGTGGAGTGCCTAGAAGCAGGTGGGCCTGACCATCCAGGTACCTCTTCCCCAGGGGATGGATCCAGGGGGTTCGGAACAATCAGTGTGTTAGCAACCTCTGCATGTCCTGTTTCAGTTCCCCTGAAACTTGGAAGGCTGTGGCTCCCTGAAGCCCTCAAGGTTCATCACAGCTGTCCTGCCAGAATGGCCTCCCCAGTGCCACCACCTCCCCCACATCCCTGCCACTTCAGACTGGGCTCTGGAAGACAGCTCTGACAACCCACAGACTAGGTGCTGGGCCCAGGGAGAGCAGTGTGATCAAAGTAAGGCTTCGTGGCTGCTCTGCCCCAGAACACTCTGAGGAGGCCCCACTACCACCGCCACAGCATCCCTCTCAGTAGCCACCAGGCATTCGTACTGCATCCCTCTGAGGCCAGGGGGACTGAGAGTGAGTCCCAGAAAGGAAAGGGGCAGCCAAGGGCATGAAGTGGCAGGCAGCAGGTGAGAGGCCATTGTGCACCCTCATTAACAACATGACTGGGGCAGGCTGCCTGGGTTTGAATCTTGGTTCCACCACTTACCAACTGTGTGACATTGGACAGGTTAGTTAACCTCTCTGACCCTCACTGTCTTCCTCTGCCATACAAGATGATGATAATCTCTCTTCTCATGGGTACTGGGAGGGCTGACCCAGGGGACTGCACATAAAAGCTCTTGGCATATTACCTGGCACCTTCATTCTCCTCCTCCTCACCCTCCTTATCACATTCAGAACCAGGATCCTCTGCCCACTGGAGCTTGACATCCCAGGGTGCCCCTAGCAGCAGCAAGCCCCAGGAATTGGCAGGGGAGGCATCACCCAGGAATGTACCCAGCCACCCTGACAAACTGGAATCTGGCTATGAGGGAGTGCCAAGAAATACCACTCCCAGGGTTCTGTGGCTTCTCTGACCTGCCCTCTCATCCAAGCAGAGGGCAGGGGCCATCGGAGTCAAAATTCACTGTGATGAGGAGGAATGCCCCCTACTGTGGAGGCCCTTTGGTGTCAAGCTGAGGCTGCCACTTTGCCTACAATGTGCTCTGGACTCACCTCCCACCCCAGGCAGGAACCACGCAAGTGGTCCTCCAGCTTCTGCCTCAGAGGGTCTCAGAGGACCACTGAGAGTGGATTTCTTCCCATCAGGCCTTTGTCCCATAATTTGCCAATAGCAGGCAGTGCCTGGTGATCCTTTAAACCCAAAGGAAGGATTTGGATGACTCTGGGAAGTTAAGTCTCCATGAAGTATTTGTGTGTGTGCAGACAAACACACACCCCCACATGGGCCCTCTTACGTGGAACAGCGACACCAAAGTGCTGTGGGTTCTCGGCCACCACCTTTTGCTTCAGCTCGTGCAGTCGGGCTCCCAGAGACCCTGGGAAACAAGAGGAAGGCTGACCAGGGTCCCTGCTGAGCTCCCTCCCCACCTGCTCCAGGGAGGAAACCAGATCACTTCCTGGAAACCCAGGATGGCACCTACCGATCAGAACCACCAGGCGGGGCCGCTCTCCGGGCTGGTGTTGGTACCTGGCCACCTCCTCGTAAGTCAGCAGCTCTGGAGACTCAGCTCCGGAGGACATCTTCCCTTCCTGGGAGCCACCCAGTCTCTCCCTACAGCCCAGCCGGAAACTCCTCCGAAGACCAGCTTGGAAGGAGGGGCAGAGGGACACCATGGCATTTGTCTCAGAATCTCCCAGAAGAGACTTTTTCCACCTGGCCAGACCTGGAGATGGGACTGAGTCCCACTGACCTCTCCCCACCTCCTCCTGCTACTGGAAGAGGTTGTTCGGGAAACACAATGGTAAGATGAAAGGGTGACCCTGCATTCACAAACTAGCGCTCAAGGTCACTGTTTTACTTGACATGTGACTGACTTTGGACAAGTCCCTTCATCTCTCTGAGCCTCAATTTCCTTATCTGTGAAATTAGGACATGAATCTACAAATACCATGTGTGGTCCTAGATCGGATCCTGGACCAAGGGAAAATGCCATAAAGGACATGATGTGGACAACTGATAACATTTAAATAACAGCATATAATAGATTTGGATGCATTTTAAATTCTCAGAATTTGATCATTGCCCTGAGGAAGTCCTTGACCTTGGGAAATACATGCTGAGAGATTTAGTGGGAAAGGGACATGATGTCTACAACTAAGTCTCATATGACTCAGGAAAAAAAATGCAGAGATGTGGGAAAGGAAATTGAGCAAACATGGCAAAGGAACAACAACTGGTGAATCTGGCTGTGGAGTACATGGGAGTTCTTTATATAATTCTTACACCTTTCCAGTAAGTTTGAAATTACTTCAAAATAAAAGCTAAGGGGCTGGGTGCAGTGGCTCATGCCTGTATCCCAGCACTTTGGGAGGCCGAGGCAGGTAGATCACTTGATCCCAGGGGTTCACGACTAGCTGGGCAACATGGTGAAACCCTGTCTCTACAAAAAATACAAAAATTAGCCAGGTGTAGTGGCATGCACCTGTAGTCCCAGCTACTAGGGAGGCTGAGATGGAAGGATCGCTTGAGCCTGGGAGGCTGAGGCTGCAGTGATTTGTGATCACACCACTGCACTCCAGTGTGGGTAACACAGCAAGACCATTTCTCAAAAAATAATTTTAAAAAAAGTTTAAAAACTTTTTGGAAAGGAGGACTGCTTGAAGCTAGGAGCTTGAAACCAGCTTGGGTAACACAGCGAGACCCCACCTCTACAAAAAAAAATATTTTTAATCAGCTGGGCATGGTGTCAGGTGCCTGCAGTCCCAGCTACTCAGGAGGCTGAGGTGGGAGGATTGTTTGAGTCTAGGATGTTGAGGCTGCTGCAAGCTGCAATGTCACTACTGTACTCCAGCGTGAGTGACAGAGCAAGGCCCTGTCTCTAAAAAATAACCAAAAAACAAAAAAAACTTTTTGCCTATCTCTAAGACGTTTGAAAAAACTGACGAAAGTAAAAGAAGTGAAAAGGGGCTCTGGAGAGCGGTAAACACCCCTCACTGTGTGGTGGTGGTGTTAACATTGAATAAACTCCAATTGCGATGATGGTGATAATAGAATTGGTATTAATGTAGGGGTGTGTGTACCTTTCCCGCCAGGGCATGTGCCCCATGGCTGGGTAAAAGCTGGGTGGGGACTCAATGCCTGGGCAGGCTCAGCTCCTGCTCAGGCTGAGAGAACTGAGGAGAGACGGGGATCCCACAGGCTCTGCTGCTCCAGAAGGACTCCTGGGGCTCACATCACCCTGCTTTGACCTCTCCCTGCCTCTGGAGCCTGGGGTGGGGCAGGTTGTGCATGTAGGTGTCAGGGGGAGCTACTTACCCACATACTGCCCTTTGAGGTAGCCCTCACAGTCACAGGCCTCTGGGAAGCAAAAGAGGGAAGGAAGCCAGTGAGTCCCACCAGACACATCTGGCCCAGGGGACCCAGCCCCTGGATGGCCAGGCAGGAAGAGCCCCCTGGGATGGTGTCTCATGGGGAGCTCAGGGGAAATCCCATGTCCTGGATACCCCAAGAAAGCAAGGTCTTCTGTTTTGCTCAGTTCTCCATGCTTAGGCCCCTAACAGCCTTTCCAGGCCCTGAGGGGAATTCTAGGCCAGCAGGCCTCCCCAGTCCCTGAGTGTGAGCAGCGTGAATAAGGAGGGATTCACTCCTGCCTGCCCTGCCCTCCCACCCCTTGTCTCCTACCCAGCCCCATCACAGCATAGCGGAGTCCTGGAAAGGCTGGGCCCCGCATGTCAGGAGGGCAGGGAAGGGCCCCAAGGCCTTGAACCCTGTCCCCACCAACTCTGCCTGCCTCAAGAAACAGCCCAGTCTGGCTGGCAGAGCAGGAAGAGGTGTGCAGACAGCGGGAGGGGCACAGCTGCCCACATGGGGAAAGAATACGAGTCCCTCAGGCCCCAAACGTTCCATGGAAAAGGGGCCGCGCCTGTGCACAGCGGACAGATACTGGGCCTACCTTTGTCACAAGGCTGATCATCTGCGGTTTGCACAAAAGACAGATGGAACAGCGTTAGTGGAGGGAAGCGGGGACCCTGCGGCTGAGGGCAGCCACGGCCCGGGTGCCTGAGGAGCCCGCCATCTGGCCTCTCTCCCTTTCCTCCAGTGAACCTGTGATCTGAGCTGTGGTACATTATTAAACCCCAAGACCTGCTCTAATTAGTCTTCTTGTGTGTGTCTCATTAGCAGCCCAGAGAAAGCCAGCTCGTCAGTGGCGCAGCAGCCTCAAGGCCACTGCACTCAGTGGCCCTTCTAACCTGACAGCAAGTCTGGAAAAGTGGCCATTGTCAGGGGCCCAGGGAGCAGCTTACTCTAGGATCCTGCAGTGGGAATAGGACCCAGTCTCTCTTTTCTGGGGTTGGAGTCTGGCCCTGGAAAACGCAGATGCCTGAGGGTGGAGCGGGGTGGAGCAGAGCTGCAGGCCATCTGTGTTCTGGTCACCTGGCACCTGCTCAGGCCACTCACTCGGTTACAAGTCTGCCCTCTAGTATTGGTGAGACCATGCCCTGGAAAAGCTTCCTCTCTACACGGGGCCCTACCCTGGGGCTCTGATCACAGGCCTTCAGAAAATGTGACCCCACCTCTGCTCACTTCACCTTGTGACCCTACATATTCCCAGCTTAGAAAAGATACCTGACTCTACTGACTTCATAGCGTTCCAAGAAGTAGGTGGACGTGTTTTCTAAAGTGTAAAGGGCTACACGGTGTAGAGTTGCCAGATAAAGTGCAGGACACCCACTTAAACTTGAATTTCAAATAAACAAGAAGTAACTTCTCAGTGTAAGTATGTCCCAAATATTGCACAGGACATACTTCTACTATAATAGAAACTAAATAAAAACATGCTTATGCTATAAACCAATCTGTCATCTATCTGAAATTCAAGCTTCAACTGGGCATCCTTTATTTGTATTTGCCCAGTCTGGCAGTCTGGCAGCCCTACCAGAGGCACCGGGTCACACACGGCCTTCTCCATTCCCTTCCAACACCACTGCTTCTTCCATTTTCAGGGTCAGAGAGCCCTTGGGAATCTAACAAAAGCTGTAGATCCTCACACATACATGCATACGCGCGTGAACACACATACACATGTCTGCACATCAGTTTGGGAAAGTTGTTAATATATCCCCCAGCATCATCTATGGACTCCAAATATACAAGCTCCTCTCCAGTGACTCCAGCCACCTCCTACTTCCCACCCCCTCCTTCCTCTGGAGTCCATGAGCTCAGACAAGACCCCTGATGCCCCCTCCAGCCCACTGCCTGCTTCTTCCCAGCCTGAATCCTTCCTCATCCTAACCCCGGGCCCTCCCCGGAGTGCCATTCCTGACAATCTACTCACAGGGGGGCTTCTTGAGGCTCTGGGGGCTCGGCAGGGTGCCCGCGGCTCTCCGGTAGCTTAGTCGTCTGCAGGGACACAAGGGAATGGGTGGGCCCGTGAGCTGGGCCAGAGAATCATTTGAAAGGAACTTTCTGGAAAACTTGGGAAACCAAGGCCTGGATCCCACAGGTGGGCACACACTGGACACTCTGAGGGCCTCCTGCTTCGCACTAAGTTCCAACGAAGGGAACACTTTCACAGGGCTCACTGGTTCATCAGGAGGAAGAAACTGAGTCTCTAAGTCCAGAAATAGCTCATCCAGCTCAAGATGGCCACACAGGGATCCAGCCCAGTGTACGATCCTCAGCTGGTCATTACTCCCCTATGGCCAATTTCCAAGGAGAGGCGGCCCCTTCTCTACTCTCCAGCCTCCCCATCTCTGAGGGAGCTGGGAAACAGCAGAATGACTCCCAAGAGAGGCTGAGGACAGAAGTGACCCTAATTTCACACCCTCCCCTCAGTGGAAGGCTCAGCCTGGGCAGACTGTCCAATGTGGCTGTCAGTGGAGAGGTGAGGCTCTCAGAGGTGTCCAGATTCCCACATTGAAATGCAGCTGAAGGGTTGGGTGTGGCGGCTCACACCTGTAATCCCAGCACTTTGGGAAGCCGAGGTGCGGCAGATTCACTTGAGGTCAGCGAGTTCAAAGACCAGACTGGCCAAGAAACATGGAAAAATACAAACCCAGTACTTGGCCATCGATCGTGACACGCTCTGTAATCCAGCTCTCTCCGGGAAGGACCCTGAGGCGCAGGAAGAATTCCACTGAACCCGGGAGGCCGGAGGTTGCAGTGACCCTGAGACTTGCGCCACTGCACTCCAAGCCAACAGGGATACAGATGAACTAATGTTCAAAAAAAAAAAAAAAAACAAAAGAAAATGCAGCTGAAGAGCCCTCCCCCACATCCTCTGGTAAGATGTTGCCAAGACCTGTCAACTCTAAAATGGAGATGGGTCTGGGGTTCCCGAGGGGACAGAGCTTCGTTCTCAGACTTTGGCACCTCAGAATCAGCTGGAACATTTGTTAGAATGTGGGGTTTCTGGGTGGGACCCACGGATTTGCATTTCTAACAAGTTCCCAGGTGATGCTGAAGCCCCCGGCCAGGGGGCCACACCTTGAGGGCCACTGAAATGGGTGAACCCTGAGGTTCTGTCCTTATCACAGTCCACACACCAAAAGATGTGAGGGCTACAACCCACAGAGGAAGTCACAACTGCCATCCTCTGACCCAAGACTGAACTTCTTAGAAATTATTTTCTTAGAAGTCTAAGGAAATAATTTGAAATATGAGGAACAGTCTATGTGCAAGGTAAGTATACTGAAGCCTTTTAACAGTGAAGAATTGGGAACAACCTAATAAAAGTGCAGCCACAGGAAAGCAGTGAAATCACTTAGCTAGTTCCTCCGAGAAGCCTTCCCTGCATTCCTGGATGAGGATGCAGCCTCCTAATATGAACTCACAGAGCACCATGTCCTCCTCCCTTGCACCCATCACATTTACATAAACTGTTTGTTTGAAGAGTGTCTGACTTTTCCACCGAACTATAAGCTCCTCCAGGGCAGAAACCCCAGGTTCACAGCAGCCTGCAAGATGCTCAGCACAAGGCCAGCTCAATTCATCCTAAGTACCTGCCGCCTAGGAATGAATGGCACAGCTCCTGATGAGTTAGTATATAGCCACTAAAATCACACCACAAAAACGATGCTATAATATGGAAAATACTCATGCCAAAAATGTTAAAAAGAAAAAAAAAAAGGCAAGACCCCAAATTCTGTATGCAACACTCACATAAAAAGCACAGTAAGGAAATAAACTGCTGTTTAGATAGGGGTGAGACGTGGGGAATTTTCTTCCATAGTCTTCCTCTTCTGTATTTTTTTTTTTTTTTTGAGTCAGGGTCTCACCCTGTTACTCAGGCTGGAGTGCAGTGGTGTGGTAACAGCTCACTGCAGCCTTGACCTTCTTGGACTCAAGCGATGCTCCTACCCCAGCCTCCCAAGGAGCTGGGACTACAGGTGTGTGCCACCATGCCCAGTTAAGTTTTTATTTTTTGTTTAGAGAGAGACAAGGTCTTACCATGTTGCCTAGGCTGGTCTCGAACTCCTGGGCCCAAGGGAACCTTCTGCCTCGGCTTCCCAAAGTGCTGGGATTACAGGCGTGAGCCACCACCATGCCCAGCCTCTCTTCTGTATTTTTATATTTTATTTCTCAGCATTCTCTAAGCATGCATTATAAAATATACATTAACTTAGGCTGGGCCCAGGGGTTCATGCCTGTAATTCCAGCACTTTGGCAGGTCAAGGCAGGTGGATCACTTGAGGCCAGGAGTTTGAGACCAGCCTGGCCAACATGGCAAAACCGTCTCTATTAAAAATACAAAATTAGCCAGGCATGGTGGTGCACGCCTGTAATCTCAGCTACTCAGGAGACTGAGGCAGGAGAATCGCTTGAACCCAGCAGGTGGAGGTTGCAGTGAGCTAAGATTCACCACTGCACTCCAGCCTGGGTGACAGAGTGAGACTCTGTCTCAAAAAAAAAAAAAAAAAGTGTGTGTGTGTATATATATTTGTGTATATACATGTATTGTGTGTGTGTGTGTATATATATAGATACACACACACACAATAGATTCCTTTAAATTTCAAATAGCCATCACCACTAGTTATGGGAAAAGACCAAACACAAGTGCAACTGGTACTTACCTTGGGGAAACAACGCTCAGCAGGCCCCTCTGGCTGTGAGGACACAGAGACTTGGGGGCCTGTCATGTACCTGCACCTCTGCCACTTTGGAACCAGCCCTTCACGACACACCCCAGACCCACCTCTCCTGGAACCGCTTGGAGGGGATGAGGCCGGCTCGAAGGTTGGTGTCCCCGACTCGCTTGGCCTGCCACCACGTGGGGTCGTCCTGGCTCACCACTTCCAGGACCTGCCTGCGCTGGAAGGGCAGGCCCGCCTCCTGACAAGGGATGGCCCGGTCCTCGCGAGGGTTGTAGTGGAAGAGGGCGCGCATGAACACCTGCACAAGGAGGGCTCTGGTGAGGCGGCCCTTCCCCACGTGAGCACCGACAGGTCATTGCCACATCAAAGGCCACATGATAACGACCACCCACACTTAGGAGGGCCAAGCGGCCTTTCGAATAGAAAGGGCCCTGGGGTTCATGCCTGTAATTCCAGCACTTTGGCAGGTCAAGGCAGGTGGATCACTTGAGGCCAGGAGTTTGAGACCAGCCTGGCCAACATGGGGAAAAAATCGCACGTGAACACACATACACATGTCTGCACATCAGTT